AATCTCAATGATGAAGGTTAAAGGAAAGTAATGGAATATGTCGTCTATGAGATAGTGTGTGATGAAACTGTTGAGAATTTCAACATATTGTAAATCAACTGTACTTAGAATTCGTCTTGGTTACAATAAAGAGCCATGTTTCATGCTTTGATTAGTTACCCGCCGCAAGTATTATACCGATCAAATTTTTGTATGTATATTTTATTTCAGTCTGGCAGAATATTCTTGTATAATTTATCAAATAATACTTTTTTTTTGGTCGAAAATCAAATAATACTTAAAATTCATTAAAAATATTATTTGCTTATAAAATCCACAAAAAACGACGTTAAGCATCTTTCAGTAACCAATTCCGCAAAAGGTAACTTCATTGTTGCTGAAATCTCTGGTTTGGGTTTTTTTACACTTTCAGTGACCAGAGAAAACGACCGATCGGAGACAAAGTAGTAGTAATATTCTTCATCCTACAAAAACAATAGTCATCGACACATCATGACTTGTGCCATCTCAACAAACATCAAACACCATTTCACTAGTCTAAATGAGCTCCATCAGCAGAAGAACAAGGACCATACAAGTGTTAGTACTTGACTATCTTGGTTTTGGAGTCAGCAATCCTCTGCGTCGCACATCAGGTAGGTAATCCGATGGAGGAGGCAATGTCTTGTTCGCTGAAGCCAGGATCTGTAATTGTTTCGTCCCAAAAAATAAAGAGACAATTGTCTTTATCATTCATGTACACACATGCTAATAGAACTAAAAGCATTTGAAGGAGACTGAAGTTGGCTTCACCTGGTGAGGTAGTTTACCCCAAACACTCCCTCCATAGTACATGATTGGTCGTTCTGTGAAACAGAAAAAAAGCAGCTAAAACTCGAAAACCAGCTCTACATTATTAACTAGAATGCAGAGATCCAGGAGGAAACATAAGTATCGTTTGATTCAAGGAAATATGAATACTCGGAATCCATTAAACTCACCAGATAAATCCACAGTCGGGTCGTTGTAGAGATGCATTGCAGTTGCCCAGCCTGTTCATTTGACAAATCAAGAGCACATCAATAAGACAGGCACACCAACTGAGTGGACACGAATCGACTTAAAAACACCTCATAAAGTTCAAAGATTTTTAAAAGGAGCATGATCAATGAACAGCTATCACTGACTCATCAGATGTTTAGCATAAGCAACAGTTGATGGAAGAACGATCAGATACTGACATACTACAAAGATTATACCACATAAAGTTAATTCATATACATACGTTGGCTCAAAAGCTGATAAGCTTCACTCTTAGAGCAGTCCTTGAGAGTAATGATCCTTTGAGGAGTCTTCTGAATCTGAGGCTGACTTTTCTCACCATCTTTGTTCTGTTGGCCACTATCTCGATCTGCATATTACGCTGAACATTAGCCAAGAACAAGATTCTAACAAGCAAAACTGATATAGCTTCTTGTACTGTTATACGAAGTTCTTTTTCAATAAAACAAGCCAAAAATTGACCAAACTATACAAATGGAGAAATGAATCAACCAGGATTCCCTAACAAAGAGAGAAGCAAGATCTTAATTTCAGGCGAAACTCGCTATGTTTCACTTTCGTAAAACGATTCTTGAGGTTATCAACTATCCACAATCACATACTCACAGATTCACATGCAATCGACTACTGTTTCCCCAATCGGATTGCTTCAATTCCTCGATTCTCTCTGATTTAAACCGTAACCCAGAGAACTAGATACTCTCGGATTGAACCGTTTCTCCAGTAAGAAGCAAGAACGAACGACTCAAGCGAAGAAGATAGAGAAATAGAGAGAGTGCACACATACCTCCTCCCTTCTTGTGATTCCCAGTCGGTTTCTTGGTTCCTGCGTCCTGACCTCTAGCGATTCGCAGACGATTCGAAGTAGCGAAGATCAGCAGAGTAAAGATCACTCGAACTTATCAAAAATGAGAGTAAGGATAGAGAAGAAGAAGTTACCTTCGACTTGGTGGAGTGTATAGTTCCTTATTGGAGCTCGAATCCGCCATTGACGAGTTAGGGTTTACGCAGTCTTCGCCCAGAGAAGA